TTATCACTACACTTTTTATTCGATGTTGATTTTACATCAATAAAATTATTTGCAACCCTATTTTGGCTCTGATCTTTCACGCTAAGCAAACTATTTTGGCATCAGTCTTTTTTCCAATTAAAACAAATGACAAAGGTAAATAAGGAAGCATACAGAAGAATTATTGGTTGCTAAACTGAAGAAACTATAACATAAAGATAGAAAAATTATATATCTCAATCACTTCAAACAGAAAAATATGAATCATATTCAATCTTCGAGGCTGGTGATGTGGTGCAAACACCACCATTAGTCTAGAAAAACTGCCATGAGCAAATGCTGGCACACAACACAATTCGTAAAATGAACAAAGAAAACACCAGAGACATAGCAAGTGATAAATGTAATTTTTCTATAGGTCTAAATCAGTTGTTATAGGTAGGTAGGTACAAACACAATTAGCCACTCAAATATCGGATAACACAAGTGATACGTTTGTTATTACATCGTCTATTATCTAATATTCGATAATTCGAATAGGAAAATAAGAAACACTATTGTAAGCAGATGAAGATTATAGATGAAAAAATACTTTCTCGTCGTAATATCTATCTCCATTTCGTATTACCGATTGCGAGTGATAAAATAAATTAATGTTGTTTTAATGCGAGTTATAAAACGATTTGTAGCACTTAACACTCACTGGCTTTTATTTACGATTATGAAGAAAAATAACCCCCTCTTTCCTGTATAATACCAGGCTACGTTATTGATGGTACAGCTTTACAATCCAAGAAAATTTGTTAAAAAGTAGAATTTTCTTTAACGTTTTTCATCGTCAGCCAAACAAAATAATAGACGATCTACTTATTACTTTTGTATCACGTTATTACAAATGTTAGAACACTATTTTTATCTTCTTATCGTCATTGGGTTGTATACATATTTGAGTTCTTTTACAAGCCGAAATATTTCGCAAAGTAAATATGATAAATACACCAAACAAGTACTTCATACATCTCTGCATCCATAACCATAATAATAATATACGTATGTTACCTAAATTTACCATAATAAGGATATCTTCGCTGAAAATTTACATGTCCTTTGGGACCGTACATATCGTTAAATTTTATCGCTACGAAACCTGAATAAATTATAGAGAATGAACAGAAGGAAATATTTCTATATGCACCGTAATATCTGCTTTTCTTTTATGGCGTCTAGAGGTAAAATCGAAAATGGCATATGGGGAATTTTGCTGCCCCTAATACTGAATGTTATGTCTACGTTTGGTATCAACCAAATTGGTTAAAAAACAGATTCAAATCCTCGTTACAAAATTCGATAGGTTTGTAAAACCNTTACAATATAATTTATTATTAATTTGATGTGTAGATTGTATTTCTCAAAGTCATTGTTTTAAAAGTTTAGAAAATCCGATCTCATCAAAGATAATTAATGTTCAGGGGAAAATTGAGAGTGTTTTGTGTCCTAGCGAATGCATTATCTAATAGAGCCCTGCGTAATGCACAAACTGGCAAAGTACTTATCAAAGAATGGCGAAAATGTATTGAGCGTGAAGCAGGGGAGGGAAAATCCACGTATTCGGGACGTGATAGGGTGGAAACCTTTCCAGAACCGCCAGTGCAAACCTGAACAGAATAACTTTTACAGATTATTATTATTATTTGAGTTTTCCTCTACACGAAAACCCTATTCGTGAGCCAAATTTTCCTTATGTTACGTACTTATATTGAATTCAGATTAGACGATAAATATCAGCGCGTTTTTTGTCAAAAATTCGACACATATTCGCTATTGTTTTGAGTATTGGATTCTTACATATCTGTAGCAAATGTAAATTTTAAAAATTGTAATATGAAGATTGAAAAAACTTCGGCGATTGTTGTAGAACAAACAAAATACAAAATTGGACAACTGAAGTGTCGTGTTTTGGCGTTGGGGTTCGTACTATTTCGTTTGTTTTAAAAATTGTAAAATTTATGCTTAGATTAAAGGTATTTACTTGCCTGTTGGGAAGCCGTTGTCTTTGCAGAGTGATTTGTATCCTTCTTGAGTACAAATTTGAACCACCCTCTGACAGATACCCGTCGTTATTGGGGTTGTTTGTAGGATTCCGTAAAACTTCGCCATCGGACAGGTAGCCATTAGTCAGTGCTATGTCGGAATAGTGCAACCCATTCGTATCCGGGTAAATAAATGAAAATTGCTTTTTAGACGGTAGCGTCATATTGCTGTAATTCGATTCGACGTCCACCATTATTCTTTCTTGGCTAAGATGATTACCGTGATGATTACTTTGTTCTCTCTCTTCGGCCTTCTCGGCCAAGGGTCCCAGAGGTCTCTGAACATAAACCAACGGCTGTTTGTTTTGGACAAATCCGGAATCAGTTGCAACGTCCGCGCCGTTGACGTCGGGTTCTTCGGGAATCGACGTGTTGGCACAGCTAATACTGGAAGAGTAACCCTGGATTTCGGTGGACGAGGTGTTGCTACATTCGGACGTGGTTTCGTTGTCTTTTGCGAACGATTCCTCAGGAATTTGTGTGGCGCCCGGCACACACGGACTAATACTTATATGAGGGTTCTCCCTATCATCCCGATGAACTTTGTTAACCCCTTTAACAGCAGCAACCGGCTTAGGTATCCCGGTTCCGGGACTTTGGGGAGTTGGAGATCGGGCCACCAGTGCAGGAGAAACTTGCTGGCTTCGACTTACCGTAACTTTAAGTTTGGGTTCCGCCAATTTGGACGCCGGAAGATTAGCAAGTTTCTGTGCATGCCTCTCTATGTCGGACGCGGTTCGAGGGGGCTGTTTTAAATTGGTCGCGTCCTTTTTAGTGGCGCTTGGGGTAACTTTAACTAAACCGGTCGTTGTTTTAATTGAACGCGTTTGTTTCAACTTGGAATTGCCTTTTGCTGGTCTCGCATCCGAGGAATGTTCCAGGCTGACGGTGCTGCTATCAGATCTTTCGCTCTTTGCCGACGATACGCCGCTCGAGCTGCTCGTTCTTTTGCCCGTTGTTACGGGGGTGGGTTTGCTATCGCCAGATTTGAATATTTTTAATTTTGTCAAGGCGTTTTTCTTTTGTTGTTGAACGTTGTTCGATTGTTGTTGCTGTTGTCTGTTGTTGGACGACGGTACTGGGACCCGAGGAATTAGGGATTGGGCTGTGTTGGATGCTGGATTCGGGATGGTCACCGGACGTACTTTGTCGGGAGGACATTTGCGAGATGGGAGGGCTGAATCGGGCAGAGGTATACTCGACGCACAAGTTTTCTGACTTACCGCCAACGATCTGGAAAAACAAAAACGAAACGTCTAAGTTTCTTTCTTGTTTTTTTTTTTTTTTACTGAAAACTACAACGTACTTCAACCCCTTATGTACATTTTTAAGTGGGTGGAGTGAATACCGCATATGAATTTATTGTACACTAACCATCAAGTCGAGTCTTTAATGCATGCTTTCTAATATTCTGAATGCCTGTCGCTAAAAGCGCTCTCCAAAATCCAAAAGGGCAACAATATTGGTTGCCATTAATTCAAAGTATCCCATTATATTGAATGCGTTAAGTATTCTAACCCATTTGGAATAATACTGATACCATTTGTTACAGGCAATCTTGGGATAGTTAAATTATTGTTTCGAATTTTTTGTAATAAAAAAAAAAACAGTCTAACCAGTTTAACAAAAAGGATAACACTGATGACGAACCTGTTTCGTCCTATGTCAGGTGTGACGGGCAAACTCCTGGATTTTTGACCGCCCGAAGAAACATTGTTACCCATTTTTCGATAAGATAAAGAATCGAATTAGATACAGGACGCCCGGCGTCGGGACGCGTCATATAAATATGATCAGTTTAACACACGACACGGGGTCACGCAGGCAACTAACATGTCGCTGTTTCGACCCCTCTGGCAGTTGCATCTGCCTTCGTCGACGTACCACACTCGCATTTCAACCCTCTTGCATCCCCGTCCCGAAACTTTTGCAAAGGGATTTACAATCGAACGAACCACTCATTGTTGCGAGTTATTATATTTAAAAAGAGTCCATGCCTAATGTGTGATACATAGGGGGTAGTTACAATGAAACAAAGACAAATTTAGTCGAAAAAGACAAATGTTATTATCTAGAGATAACGCCCTAGTAAAAATTCGCTAAACGCGGAACCAATGAACTAGATATAACACAATTACCCGCAGACAGGGTAAGTTTCTCAAGGGATGTAGAATTTCTTTCCCCTAAGTGTTCAGGGCGTAATTAGGAAGATGGAGTTTTAATTTTTGGGGAATATTCTTTAGGGTTGTATGCCTAAAATAATTGTGCGTCTTCATACGTAATCTAAAGTTCTTTAAGAAGCCAATAGGATGAGAGATAATAAATAATGTTGCTTCCAATCATAACAAAGTTATTAACATAAGGATTGGAATTGTATTAGTTTAAACTGCCATCAGATTAATTATCGATAATTAGATATTCTTTGCACTTTCAGGAAATTTATATTTTACTGCAATTACTTTCAAATTATTTTTAGCAAACGTGTGTCTTTTTTCGATAACAATTAAGACAGAATTCCTCGAAAACCACTAGATAATCGCATAAGAAGCATCTTTTGCTTTGTTTGGTATTTAACGGTTCTTGAATATGGCTGCGCTTTTTATCACTTAATAATTATACCGTTAAAGTCTTCAAGGCAATATATAAAATCTGTGAAAAGTCGAATGTAATCGACCATAAAAAGTAATTAGTTTTGTTTTTCATACACCTTTCAGTACACGTTGCAGTGTTTTGTTTTTTGTTTGCTGAAAATATAAAATGTACCAGAATACGTAAAGTTATTAGTTTTAATCCTGGCGCCTCCGCGAAAGTTTGACAAACGCAAAATTAACGATAGCATTAGGAATTAGCATAATTAATTATGAAGTTTGAAGCACCACATTAATCAACCTTCAATTATGTGTCAAAATTTAATATCTTTACTCGTCGATGCGATGAGCAACCGCGTGATTACTCGCGGTAAATACTCATCTCCGAATCGCATATTTCACTCAATGACAGTAAATCATTGGCTTTTATTTCAACCATGTTAATTAGCCATAAAAAGGAGACTTATACGAAGCTTCCCAGCATAAACAATTACAGTCAACATACTAACGTGTTAACCAGCTATAAACAAAAGGCAGTTCGAGTGCGATGTTATCGACACGATACCTCCACTGGACTCATTACATGACATGCTTCCACTTTGTAACGCCGTTTTTATAGCCTTGTGATAAAAATTACAATAAACGTTTAAATAAGGTACAAATCAAAAAACAGATTTTCTTACAGGGGGAAACAAAAAAGGTATTTAATACCTAAACTAAAAGAGATGTTCCGGGTACCCGGTTTGGATTCGGAACCCGTAGGATTCGGCCGGGTACCAGATAATGACGCCGAGTACCCGGCAGTGCCAACGCAAGCAATAGTAATTTAATAAGTATAACAAAAAGCTACTTAATGGAAATTAGTAGTTAAGATTATATATCGGTTTTCGTTTTGGTAAATGTCTAGATGATGGCCTCCAGCCTCCAAGGGGGTGGGGGGGGTATCGAAAGAGGAGGTCTCCCCTACCACTGTACTATAAAAAGTTCGTGGCGGCCTCACCCCCATAAAAAGTTATGGGAGTTAGACGGGGGTGGGGGTAGGGGGGATCGAAAGAGAGTAAGGGGGATCGAAAGAGGGTGGTCGCCTGAATAAAACCCCGTAAAAAATTTGCGGCGGTCTCATCCCCATAAAAAGTTATGGGGAAAATCGTTAAAAACAAGGAAAACTGACCAATAGTAGTACAACAAAGACATCTCTGTAATTTTTACTACTTATTTTGTTTTGCGAGTGCTTTTGTTTATTCGTAGATATTGGATAAAAACAAATTTTGAGACAGGGTTCAATTTGGACGACTTGATTAAAGGATGCGGTAGACTGTTATTAGAAAAAACCTCATCTTTTATTATTTTTACGTTACCTAGAACCAGAATGTTTTACAGGGTTACGTAGAAATTATATTAAGTGCTCCTTTTTCAAGCAGACAACTTCTGTCGAAAAGTTATTACATAAAGCAATGCATAAATCAGGACGAAAGCCATTAAAACGAATTTTCGTGACAAAATGAAAAATATTAGCGTGCCTGCCGTTAATAGGCTCTCATTTTTCAGATGAATCACGCAGTTATTATTATTGTCTAATTTTAAACTCTCCAAAAGAAGTTTGTTGAGGTAAGCATCTTTCACATAATGACTTAAATTATAACGGGGTAAACAAGTACATTTATGCACAAATATACACACACAGGTCGGCTTGCGTTGGGTAAAAATAATTTAGTGTCTTCTCAGTTTAATTTTAGCCCGCGAACCTTACGTATTAGTACGAACGACCCAATTCGACTTCCTTAACTATTAAAAGTCGTTTTTTTTTTCGTTTGACAATGGATATTTGGCAGAAACGCGGCGTGAACAAGAAAACAAATGAAATGAAGGCCCTCTGTTCGAGATCACGTTAACATAAAACAGTTGAAATATTATTAGTTTTCGTATGCCCACTGTTTACAACAATGTGTCGTAAAAGTGCGCCTTCGTTTGTTTTTTTGCTCGTTTTACCACAAACAAATTGTGTTTCTACCTAATTCTTTAATAAATGTTATTACCTGCTCCTATGTAGATGAAAATGTATATCATACACATATAGTAGGTGGGAAATCAATCTATTTTAAATATTTTGCTTAGTTTATCACGTTTAGTTGACTGTTAGTCACTTCTGACCTTGTTTAAAGTTCAGTCATTAGCCTGTTAAATCGCTCGTTTTTTGTTTCCACGAATTCCAACTTTAGATCATTTACGATAGATTTTTGTATAATGTGTGAATATAAATCCTTGCAATTTATTTCAGGAAATTGACAATTAAATTAAACCCTCATTAATCATCTTTGGGTTTTCCGTGAACTACAATTGTAATTATCGTTCATTATTTGCTGCATTTCGTATAAAATTAGCTGATTTATTTCATAATCGTGTTTTCCATTAGTTATCTACTCGAGGAACATTAGATTTAAGTCTTACCTGTTTGGAGCCATATCGCAAAGCGCTTTCGGCTGTGCCTGTAGGGCTTGGGATCTTTGTTTGCTGACTTGTTTGTGTCTTGACAGGGCAAAAAACAGTGCCAGGACTGTTTTCAGATCCCCATCGCGTAAATCTTGGGGCGAGATCGTTTCAATCCCGGAAACATGTTTCGCCCTGAGGTAATTCAAACACGAACTTATATTTTCCAACTGAAACAGAACGAGAAAACGTTTGGTTTTATTTATTTACAAACTTGTACATTCTGTGACTTCCGGCTTTTCTCAGTATGTATTAGATAAGTATCTCATCATCGTCATCAAAGATGTGATTTATTTGAAATACTTGCATTTAAAATGCAAATACAAAATAAAAAGTAGGTACTTATTTTTATCTTGCATTTAAATACTTTTTTGAAACAAACATTTTGTATTTTATTTAAAAGCCCGCAAAACAATATCGAATAGATATACGCCAGTTGTGTAAAATTGAAAACTAAAAGATATTGTGGTGTGCTAATAAATGCATATACCCCAAAATTTTAAGAAAACGATTCGAAAAACTTCACTTATTAGATAAGCCCAAAGCTAAAGAAACCATGGATTCCATTTCTTTCTCTTATTACAATGTGTAAAAGATCGGAAACACAATTGGGTTGTAAATATTTTGATGTAAAATGATTGATGTTGATTTTACATCAATAAAATTATTTGCAACCCTATTTTGGCTATGATCTTTCACGCTAAGCAATCTATTTTGGCATCAGTATCTTTTTTCCAATTAAAACGGATGA